CCTGCGCCTCCAGCAGCCGCTCCACCATCTGCTCGAAGCGCCCCAGCAGCCGCCGCTGCTGCGCCTCGGCGCGGTTGGTGCCCAGCAGGCTCAGCAGCCCCTGGCTCAGCTCCTCCATGTCGCGGAACGCCGCCATGACCGCCTGCCCCGCCGCGAACCCCGCGCAAACTCAACTGCCCGCGGTGCCCGCCCCTTCCGGGAGCGTTCCCTCCCCATTGGCTGGCTCCAGCGTCCGTCATCGGCCACGGGTCGGTCCTCCTGCGCCTGCGCAGGGAGGCGGTGCCGCTCGCGCGCAGGCCTTCCTGGGGCGCCTGCGCGGGCTGGTCCCCAGCTGCGCGTCTTGTAACCGTGAACTTGGGGCCCCTGCTGCATGCGGGGCGGGGTTCTAGGGACGACACGATGCAGCTGACCTTCGAAGAGACGGCAAAGCCCCAAATAAAGGCTGTGCAACGACCGAATTTACTGTTTGAACCCCAGCTCTGCCATTGGCTAGCTGTGCTTCCCTGAGGAAATTACTTTGTGCTTCATTTGCCTCAGGGTTGGCGTGGGCATCGAATGATGATTGGGACGGTTGCTGATGGAGCAGGCGCCAACCCAATCAAACTCAACCGCCAGAGTCAGTCCATCCTTACTTAGAGACCCTACAGGGGTGGGACAGGGTAGAACCGCCTCTGTGGGTTTCCAAGCATGGATGTCTTATGACGGGTGCAGAAATCCCCATGATGGGCTAGTGGTCTTGAACTGCTGACCTTGTGATGAGCAGCCCAACACGTGGCCCACTTGCCACCAGGACTCCCTTCCAACCGTCCTCCGGCACCATGCTGGGGAATCTTCGGTTGAGATCCTACAGGCTCACTGGTTGATTTTTGGAAGTAGGTCGCCACGCCTTTCTCCTTAGTCTGGAAGCTGAAGTGCTAAAGCCCGGATCACTGAGTCACGATTTGAAATGGGTATCTTTCTCTAGGTCAGATGCAAACAACAACACACCTCGGAAAGTGGCCACTCTAGCGGCAAGACTTCCCAATTACGGAGGGGGAAAAAATAATTGAGGCCATTTCCGGAATACCTGCCGTAAAGGCATTAAAACAGGGTCGTGGGTCATAAAGCAAGGTCATAGGCCAGGGAAGACCTCCCTGAGCAGGGAACAGATACAGGTACGTGAGGCCGTGAGCATGGCTTTGTAAAGCTCCAAAACCCAACGGGGACCTGAACGATGAGAAGATCTGGGCAGGAATGTGCCCGGTGGAGGGAATGGCACAAGCAAAGGTCCTGAGGTGAGGAAAGGGTTAATATGCTTACGAAACCGCCAGGAGGCCCGTGTGCCCAGCATGGAGCGAGCAGGACACTTGACCGAGACCTGTAGCTTGGGTATGGACTCTATTCTTCCCTCTAAAAATGTGGCTGCTCAGTGCCGCCCAGTCAGTTCCGACTCACACCAACCCGATGACAACAGGACAGCACGCCTGCCCGTCCTGGACCGTCCTCTGTCTGTCTGATGTTGGAACCCATTGTGGCAGCCACCAATAACAGAACTAAAGAAATAAGCTTGAACTCAACGTTACGCTTATCTTTTTTGTTTGTTTTAAACATTTTATTAGGGGCTCATACAACTGTTATCGCAATCCATACCCACATCAATTGTGTAGAGCGCATTTGTACATCATTCTCAAAACATTTTATCTCCACGTTACGCTTATCTCTAAAATAGGCTCTGGAAGGCACAGGAAATGATTTCTTTTAGAAAGACCAGGGTCAAGCCGGTCCCTGTGAGGCAGAGGTTAAAGGCGTCTTAACCTCTTATCCGACTTTTTGAAACTGGGGCACCGCTCCATCATCTCTAACATCCACTGTCCTCCCCCCTGTCCCCTTCCTCCCGACCTTAGGTCCTGGGAGTGACCGCCCTGTTCTCACAGAGCTCATGAACCCTCAGGGAAATGGCTTCATGGGGCATAGAAACTCAAATCTCGGGGCCAGGTGTCAGGCTGGAGGCTTGTCCTGACACATCTGGTTTCAGGGACGGATGAACCCCAACCAGTCGCTCTCTGGACAAGCTGCTTGTTCAGGTTCCAAACACTGGGACGCTGCTGCTGCTGAAGTAGATGCAGGATCCAGAGATAGAGAGAGAATGTTGCTGGAACATTCCTTTATAGACTGGATGCTGGTCATCAACTTAAAGCAACCCCCCTGAACTTAAACAAGGTGGCTCGAGGGTGTGTGTCGAGACGGGTGGGAGGATGGGATAAGGAGCTACCC